TGTAATATTTTCTTTTTCCTCAGGAGACGAGACTGCTTACGCCAGTTTGTTGTGGTTCTTTGCCAACGAGGTCAAACTAAGGAACTATGTCAATTCCCTTACATAGACCTACATGATGAGGTAGATGCTTGCAGTCATTTGGGCAAATTGCTTTCTTTATTGATTCAAATGCCCCATCATCAAGTCTCATTTGATGCATTGAAGCATCATCATTTCTAAAAAATTTTCCAATTGACATTTGTGACTAATTCTAGAAAAATGGGTAATACATGTAAGTCGCTGGTTTCAGATTATGAGTTTGTGATGTGGTTTGATTGTGTACATCTCAAGCTACAATTTGATATATGAATGACCCCTGTAGTGCGCTGCATTCCGAAGAATATATATACATTTTTATATCCACACTTTGGGATTCAATAAAGGCACTTTTCAAGAAAAAGCTCATAAAGTGTAGCACTTGGAAGCAGAGTGCTATGTAGGATTTCCCACTGAATGGTCAATTTTTTTATCTTTATTCATCAGTATCCATGTTTTTTGTCACCAATTCTGAAAATAAAAATATTATAGAAGCTATTATAGGAAAAAACAGAAAATAACATTTTTGAAGACATTTTGCCTTCTCCAAATAGAACAGGCCATAACATGTTTTGGCATTGCCCGACTTATTACCTTTTTTGCAGAGCGGGTCACATTTATAACAATAAATGAGAATATTCTGTTCAGTATTATGTGAACTGTAACCAGTCAAATAATTTTCACGTAAATACCTTCATAATTTAACTATGTTTGTTTGTCTCTTTTGGCTTAGGACTTTTAAATATTACCAGCACTGTGCACAAACTTCAGAAATGTTTTGGTTGGTTCCTAAAGTATGCAGAACTGGATTATTATGTATGAATCTGTCCTTTAAAGGTTGTGAGCATCATGGAGTCAAGAGCTCGCTCTGTGGACCTTCTGACTACACACAATTACTACGATTTACTCTATGCCTTCCATATATTCAGAGGAAACTACAGAAAAGGTTGGTTAATTGTGCAGTATTTTATATATTTATTTGATTTCGGGAAAAAGGACAAGTTACAAAACGGAAAAAAAAAACAAAATGGAAAAACATCAGCCAATGCCCCAAGGATTGCCCAAAAGAAACATAGTTTCTATCCAGGGGCTCTCTTCACCGGCTTACAGTTATGGAGTTTGTATTTCACCGAGTCTAATTAGCGCTACAGTAACTATATACTGGAAACTTGATGGTGGACTACCTTTGGTTTTTTCCTCCAGCTGCCAGTGCAGTGTATGAGCATGCGGTGCGTCTTGGCCTCGAAGTGCCCAGTTTGGATGGCCTACGCAAGCAAGCCAAGTGCTACCTAGCTGCTATGAATGCATTGGAACTAGTCAACCAGGATTTTGCTTGGATCATCAAGCCAGTGGCTGTTGATGAACCGGTAAGTTCATTCAGTATTGTGTAGTGTTGTGGATAGAAAATGTTACTAGGTTGATTTTAGTCATGAACAAAGTGCAAAGTGATGTATCCCTCATCAGTATTGCTGTTTAAGTCTATCACAAGTCCTACCTGAAGTCCAGTGGTGGACTTGACTACGACACTGTTAATCATAAGATCTGCTTTGTTAAATGCTTGCACTGAAATGTAGTGGGAATTTTTGAACAAAAAGTATTATACATTTGTATTTTATATTTACAACAGGATGCCTGCAAGTTCTATATAAACTAAACCTGATTGTAAAATAAGAATTTGTATGATGTCTTTGAGATCACTGATGTGGTACTTCTCTTGCCTTTGTCTTGGCTTGTTGACATCACAGGGAACTGGTAACTGCAACCTTATAATTGCTGTTGTTGATTCAATAACTTCTGAGTGTCTGTGTTCTAGGGTCATTGGAGTTATAGGTAATAGATTGAGCATGGAGGAAGGACACAGAAGGAGTTAGAACTCTGGCACTTCAAAGTGCTTGATGAGCATCGCCGCCAGCTCAGACATACAATAGTAAACATTCCGAAATGCCCGATTTACTTCCTGCAGCTCAGCTGGACAAGTGGGGCCAGTAATATCGTAGCAATATTTGGTGTGTTTTGTTTGCAGTTAACTACAACTTATCACCCTGACCGGGGAATAGAGAGCGAAAAATATCTACCAGTAGATTTACTTTTGCCATCGTGAATAAACTTTTTACTTTGGTGCACTGTTCCATTATCCATGCAATGTTTGTAATTTCATTTTGTGTCTCCAAAACATCAGTTTTCAAAGTCTTTGTACGAATTTGGCTAAGATTGTCCAACAGCGCATTGACCACCACTGGACAGTTAAGTTGATGACAAACAAATGCGCCATTTCATCACAAGGGGTAATCATGAGATCTCATAAAGTACCTTTTTGTATGAATGCCATAATAAAAATGACTCAAATAAGACATAATATCTTATAAACAACTCCGCCATTTATTCCAAAATAACTCCTGAGGAAAGGGTTTGATAAAGGCAATGACTGCACATGAACACTAAGGGCACACAGCCTAACACAAGCAACTGTGCAAGCATTGAATTTGATGTTGTCTTATCATACCAGGCACCAACGATTGCATGAATATTCAACTTCCTATACTGCAGTGCACAACATTTTAACCACTTCATGCCTGGGCATTTTTCAATGTTGATGATGCTGGGCCGGCATGACTATCATTTTTTCCGCTTTCAAAATCCTTCAATAATTCATCATTTCATTTAATGGTCGTTTATAGCCGCACCAAGTAATCTTTAGGTACTCCTCTAAGTTGAC